TGGCTTGGCAGTCAGATATATACCCCACTGAGATCTCCAGCCCAGCTAACAACAGCCTAAGAACAGCCCAAATAACTGCTCCCTACAGGAGGTGGGAGGTCTTTTTTTTGCAATAGTTTTAAAAAAGACACTATTGGGAAGGACAATGGCAGGCACTGGGACGAATGCACCCCCCTCTAAAGTCTTAGGGAGGGACATCTCATCTCTTGATCGCTGGAAACAGAGCGTCTTGGGTTTAAACTGTTGACAAAAGCACTGTAACTCTTGGAAGTCCCATCGATGAACTGCCTTCCAACCCTTCAGAATAAAATTAGAAAAGGTCAGGTAGCCTTTCCATAATCCTGATGCAAGAGCCAGCAATAACTTTATTAAAAAATAAGGGTGTGAAATCAAATCAATTCAGACTTATGAAAATCTAAAGGAGAGAGAAGCCCTCTCCAGGCCTCTACAAACCAAGGGCTTTTGTTTAAACTGTTCACAAATGCATTTTAACTCTTAGAAATTGGGCACCTTAGGTTTAAGCTGTTGACAAAAGCACCTTAACTCTTCAAACTTTAGCTCTTAGAAATTGGGCACCTTAGGTTTAAACTGTTGACAAAAGCACCTTAACTCTTCAAAAGTGAGCACCTTTGGTTTAATCTGTTGACAAAAGCACTAAACCTCTTGGAAATTGGGTACCTTAGGTTTAAGCTGTTGACAAAAGTACTGTACCTCTTGGAAATTGGGTGCCTTATATTTAAACTGTTGACAAAAGTACTGTAACTGAAATTGGGCACCTTAGGTTTAAACTGTTGACAAAAGCACCTTAACTCTTCAAAAGTGAGCACCTTTGGTTTAATCTGTTGACAAAAGCACTAAACCTCTTGGAAATTGGGTACCTTAGGTTTAAGCTGTTGACAAAAGTACTGTACCTCTTGGAAATTGGGTGCCTTATATTTAAACTGTTGACAAAAGTACTGTAACTCTACTCTTTATACCTCTTGGAAATTGGGCGCCTTATATTTAAACTGTCGACAAAAGTACTGCAACTCTTGGAACCTGGATACCTTAGTTTTAAACTGTTGACAAAAGAACCATAACTCTTGGAAATTGGGGTGCCTTAGGTTTAAACTGCTAACAAAAGCACCACAACTCTTGGAAACTGAACACCAAGAGGTATGGCGCTTTTGTCTGCAGTTTAAACCTAAGACACTGACTTTCAAAGAGTTACAGTGCTTTTGTCAACAGTTTACACCAAAGGTGCCCAATTTCCAAGAGCTACAGTGCTTTTGTTTGCAGTTTAAACCCAAGGCGCCCAATTTCCAAGAGTTATGGTTCTTTTGTCGACAGTTCAAACCAATGGCTCTCAATTTCCCTGAGTTGCGGTGATTTATTGAATAATAATTCTGTGCTGTGAACATATTTTTATTTATTTTATTTAAAATATTTTTACCCCACCTTTCTCCTTGAAATGAATGCAAGGTGGTGTACGTCATTAAAAGGACAATATTTAAAAGCTAAAAAAAAAAAAAAAAATCAATAGATATACAATATTAAAATGAACTGAACAAGTAGTACATTAAAAGCAGTCATAAAATCAATTCAATTCAGAGTTTTTCAGATAATGAATACTCCCCAATAGATATACAATATTAAAATGAATTGAACAAATATTACATTAAAAGCAGTCATAAAATCAATGCAATTCAGAGTTTTTCAGATAATGAATACTGAGAAGTGCTTCACCGTTCACTTCTTCTGGAGGAGCCATGAGGCTGTGCAGCTGGCCCAAGGCCACCCAGGCTGGCTTTGTATGCGTAGGAGGCACAAGGAGGGAATCGAACTCTGAGCCTCTGGCTGCATAAACGACTGAACTATCCGTCCAGCTACGATGTCTCCAAATATCTGTTTCTGGGGACGTGAGACGGAGGGTTTTGCTGGGCCCACCTCCAGGGCTTCCCTTTGGAGGGCCCTCTGATTGGAGACTATGTGAATAGGATGCTGGCCTCCGCTGGGCTGTAGCTTCATCTTTCCCCCTGCTTTGGACGAGAGAAGCAAGACTTTTCACGCTGTCTCCCTGCCAAAGCCAAGGACCCTTCTGTTTGGATTCGCTACAATGGGCCCTTGTATTCTTTGGCACCGGCTGTCTCTCGGCTGCCCATCGACGCTGCCTCCGCCAACAATAACTGCTTTATCTTTGCCGGTGCCCTGGGTTCAAAGTGGGTTGGAAAGGCCGGGAATGGACGCGACGGGAACAGGGATGAGAACGGGACCCGCATGTCGCCTGGGTGGGGAGAGAGAACTCTATAAAGGCCAGCAGTCCCATGGAGGCGAAAAGTCTACTAGCATCTCAGCATGTCCTATGGTAGAGAAAGGAAAAAGTGGAAGATGGAGCTCTATGTGCTTTGGCTGAGTTTTGCCTTCCTTCGCGCCGCCCAGGCGGTGAGCTACGACTCGGATCGTTGCAGCCCAAAACAGGTAAACGGGCCCAGGGTGGGGCAGAGGAAAGCATGGGGGGTTTTCTGGGGGGGGAAGCTTGCAACCCACCTCTGGGTAGGACCCCATGCCCCGGACCTCCATCCTGAAGGGCTCTGACTCTCTGTGAAGCCGATGAGTGGCCTTCGTTGCCAGATGGGCGGTATATACCGTATCTTTCCGTGTATAAGACTATACTTTTGTCTAAAATCTTTAGACTAAAAATTGAGGGTCGTCTTATACACGGAAGTAAGCTGAGGAGAGAATAAAAACAAGTGGAGGGGAAAGCAGGGATCAAAGCGATCCTGCAGCGCTTTGATCCCTTTCCCCCTACACTTGCTAAGCCCCACTTAGATTTCTTAAGTTTGGATTCGAAAAGTGGGGGGCGGAGCTTCTTATACATGGGGGCGTCTTATACACAGAAAAATACGGTAAATCAAACAAATAAATAATAATAGGTCGTTTTCCTCTGAGCCACAGCTCAAACCTTTCATTAAAGGTGTAAGTTTCCACGTTCTGGACTTTGCTTTAATTGAGAGGACATCTTTAAAAGCAAGAAACAACTGAAAGAGTAACAAGCACGTGGCTTGAATAATGCAGCCACAAGTTACTTTTGAAAAGGTTGCTCTTAGTAACCCCAACACATTGTTTTCCAAATTCTATCAGGCGTAATGGGAGCATGCTACTTTTTGAAAAGCAGCTTTTCCCTGTCGTGTTGCGCCTCTTGCTTGGAACGGATTGGGAGTGCGGGGGAAAGGAAGAGCTAGTGTAGAATGAAAATTAAATCCCTTTAAAGTAAAAGAAAAGAGTAGCACAAATTCAGTTTAGAAGTGTAAGAACCAGCCCAGAGATACACCAAGGACAGCTTGGGGGCTTGGTCGGCTTAATGAATTGTAGGCCTTTCCCATCTCATTTGAGAAGCTAAGCAGGATCAAGCCGGGTGACTACCTGGATGGGTGATCACCAAAGTATCTCAGAAACCCGAGAGAGCCATCACTTTCAGCTCGAATTAATGAGACTTGGTCTAGATGGAGCGAGGAGTGACTCAGTATTCAGATGCCTCCTCCTGCCTATTTTTCAGCCTGGGCAGACGGTTAGATCCGTACAATAACAATGGGCACCCAGATGCCTCCTCCTGCCAATTTTTCAGCCTGGGCAGACGGTTAGATCCACCCAGGTCTTCTCGTGAGCACAGGTCTTTTGTCCTTCAGGCCTTTGGAGACTGGCTTATGCACGCCTTTGCCACGGACTGCAAGTGGTTCATGAAATACCTGGACGACATGACGATGGTCGTCGTCAATTTACGTGAGACGGAAAGCGGAGGGATCTACATCGCTTCCAAGTTCCCAACGTAGGTCCTCCTATGTTTGGCTCATCAGGTCTGGTGGATGAGATGCCTTCTTTCCTATAAGGCAGGGCCTCCCGGCCAGGCCTGGAATGTGGTTAAGAGGGACCCAACAGGGTCAAACCCAACATCGTATGGCGCTTGTGTTTAGGATCAGAGGTTCCTTAAGGGATGAAGTGTGTGTGTGTGTGTTTTGGTTTGTTTCTGATCAGGAACTGGTCAGGAGGAGAGACGCGCGACCAGTCCACCAGTCACCCAACACCCCTTTCAAAAAAAGAGAGAATCTTTAGGGAGGTAACTTTTCATTACCTTCTAATTGTGAAGCTGGTGTCCATTTCTGCCCGTCCACAAAGGCGAGACCTGCACACAAGCTGGCGTAAACACTGGATTTCGGAGCTGACATTTCAGACTGTTCCTCTTGTGATTCTCAGAGAGGGATTTATGGAAAAACGTACAGCTGCGAGTGATGGACTGGAGTTATCTCCTTTTTTAAAGAAAAACACCTTCTTTAACAAGAGATTGTTCTTTAACCAAGAAAATTCCATCACCTTAGACCATACCCTTGTGCTTCACCATGAAAAACGATCATCCCCCAAGCGCTGCAAGGCCAACCAGCCTGTTTTCTCTAGCCCTCTTGTGCCCGCCTGATAGTCTGACTCTGGGGGCAAATAACCTGAAAAACGAATGGATTTCCCTCTGCTCTTATTTTATAGCCCCTTCGGGTGCCAGAGCCTTGAGCTGGAATTCAAGAGACAGGAAGATGGGTCGTACGTCCACACATCAGGTCTGTACACACCCAACCTTGACCACATACCCTGTTCTATGTGCTCTGCTTGCTCACCCTTTCGAACAGAAGATTTGACTGTCCGATATTCATTCCTACCCTGCCTCTTTGATGCTCTTTTTCCCAGTGTTTCTTGACTTTGGCTGATTTTCCCCCCCCACTGCCCAGGCTACAGTCCATGCCATCTATATTTCTCTTTGAACAATAAAGGAACATTTTGGTACATAGATTAACAGGTATTTTATATTTCTAGTGCTTTAAGAACATCGAGTTTTGACTGATCATTCAATCAGGCTTGAACACACCGGAGTGAAGGGGGAAATCAGAAGCAACGATAATTTCAAAAGCCATTTAAAATGGCTTGAAGAGAAGACTTCCCCCTCTCCCTGGAAGGGGCTCCAATCTACCGCTTGTTCTGAGATGCTTCCGCTGTCCTTCCCTGCAGGATGGGGTGAGGAAAAGATAGAAAAGATCATGACAGATTGCGATACCTACACCATTGTCACCATCGCGAAGGTCAGGGGTGGGGTGACCTCCAGATATGCGGTACTTTATGGTATGTACTCAAGAGGTTTCCTGGATTCTTGGGGGGGTGTGTGTGTGCAGTTTTGTAGCCGAAAGATACAGATCTACTGACCTCTAATTAAAAAAAAAAATCACACACACACCCTTGCGCACCTCAATGTTGTTTCTTGTGCATTTCGACTTCCAGCCAGGGAGACCCAGGTGCGAAAGGAAGCTGAACAGAAATTCCTGGACTATGTGCATCATGAGCTGGGCTTTAAGGAGGAAAACATTCAGATGTTTGGTGACGAAGGTAAGGTGTGAGAAGAGCTGGTTTTCTTGACCCAGGTTGATTCAAACCGTACTGAGTGGGGGGGGGGGGGAGAGAGCAGGAGATGTCCAGGCAATGGAGGGGACGAAGTAATGGGCAGGAAAGCAGGAATTGAAAGCAGGGAGAAATCCGGGTCCGATGAGGATATGGCGAGAGCTTTGAAGATAATGTCTAGACAATGGAGGGGACGAAGTCATGGGCAGGAAAGCATGGATTGAAAGCAGGGAGAAATGCGGGTCTGATGAGGATATGGCGAGAGCTTTGAAGATAAAAACAAGGAGATGGGTCAAAAGGATGGTGTGTCCCTATGGCAAAAGGATGCACAGGCACCCCCCCTCATCAACCACAGAGGTGAGGTATGTGGCAACTCTCCCTCTAGCTGCTCCCCCCAAAACAGGCCATATCTGAACGAGTATACAAACCCACACAATTCCCTCCTTTGTGTTTCATGTCCTAACGGCAATTAATGTGACCTAAGCCGCTGTCCCTCCTCTTCAATTATGTTTTCACAGTGGCCTGCGCGGAAGGTCGTTAGGTGAGTTTTTGAAGGCACCGACACTCAATTTTGGGCAAAAGCGTTCGCTGGCCTGAACCTTCGGGTCTTCTCGGTCAAGCGTGACAAAAACACACACACACACACCGGTGCTTTTCCAAGGCCATCGGTCTGAATAGAGAAAAGGCTGGGTGGTATTGGCTTGTTCCTGTGACGTCACCACCAGAGGTTACGATCTGAAGCACTTTTGCCTGTTCATTGTGATTCGAGGGAAGAGGGTGGTGGAGGGGATGTAAGGTGAACAAGACAAGGAAAGAGCATTGGCCCTTTTTTGAGTGAAAGACAGTGAAAGAATCTAAGTTTGATCTAAGAAAACCAGAGACACTGGCTCATCCCTCAAGTTCCCTGTCTCACAGGTTCCTCAGAAGACTCAGCGCTGCTGGCTGTGGGTTTGGAAGTGTCCATGGTGTCCAGTTCGGGCCTCCGTGCGAGATTCTGAGCATCGAACGCTGTCGTCCTGCTTAATAAATAGATTCGGAAAATGCACTGGTCAAAGTTCTGTTATTCGCCCCAAAACTTACTCAGCAGTATGGCACATGGGCTGGCCCGTCTGTATGGATTTCCATGCAATCTTTTTCTTTTAATTGGACCCCGGTTTTTTAATTAGACTGAAAGAAATCTGGGCTTGTGATTTGGGGGGGGGAGGGGAGAAATGGAAACCGAAAAGCAAACAGACCAACTCATCGGATCCGAGTGACAATGCCAGCTTACTGCAGGAGGAACATGATGTCTCGAAAGGCAAGCCAGACGGTGACATCGTGTCCCTATTTAACAAGGAGTATTTGTTTTGCTTTAAAGCACATTAATTTAATTAAAAGATTTATAGGCTGTCTTTTAAGGTCACTCCTCTCAGGGTAGCAAGCTTTAAAAAGAGACTTAGACCCACAAACACACACACACACACACACACACACAAAATAAAACTATGAAAAAAATCAATGAGGGTCTGCACTAACAATTAAAGGGACCCAGTGGATTTATAGGCTGTCTTTTAAGGTCGCTCCTCCCAGGGTAGCAAGCTTTAAAAAAAAAAACTTAGACCCACCAATCCCCCCCCCACACACACACAAGAGAAAACAATGAAAAATCAATGAGGTCTGCACTAACAATTAAAGGGACCCAGTAACATATTTTATTTTATTTATTTATTTAAAATATTTTTATCCATGCAATCTTTTTGTGGAAGTGTGTGTGTGGGGGAAATTTTCAGTTCTAGGGCCAGATCCAGCCTTTCTGATCTGTCCCTCTCGGAGTCCCCAGATGCCCAACTCCCTTTCCTCATGACAGTATCATTTGTTAGTTATCCAATTTTTCTTTAGTTCCCCCTCAAAATTCTAAAACGTAGACATGTTTCATCTTCTACGGTTCTGAGACCAGCAGGGAAATCTTTAAACTAAAATATATGCGGACACGTTTGGCCATATCTCCTCCCCCTTTCGGCTTCTCCATCCCGAAGAATATCAGTGGAAATGAACTCAGTCTGAGGCTGAAAGAGGTTCTCTTTCCCTATATAAAATGATTCTAATAGCATCTTTACTGAACAATAAGTTGAAGTGAGCACAGTATGCTCTTTGTGTGTGGAGGGGGGGAAAGAGAAGTTTTTTCCCCCATAAAGGTCACCAGGAAGTGCATCATGGGAAACAGAAGTTTTTTTCCCCCCCATAAAGGTCACCAGGAAGTGCATCAACTGAAAGGGGGACCTTGTGATACCCCAGAGATATGGGTCAATGGAATCACACCAGACCCGAATCCAGGGAAAACCCAGCTCATCTGTTCATATGATGATGCAAACCTTGATAGTATTTATCGGGGGAACTTATGGCACTCAGGAACAAGGCCTAAGGAGCTTCCATGCCACCTCGGAGCAGGCAAAGATGTGAGCCAAAACTTCTCCAGCTCAACCTCCTACAAAACCAGACTCCCTCCTCTTCCTCCAGCTCCTTGCCTAGAGGTTGGTTTCCCTACTTAAAGACCCTGCAAAGCACCACAGTCTTGATCTACTGGCCTCGGACCTGCCCACCTTAGCAACGGCACAGCCTGGCAAATATCTGGTGGCAGAGAGTTCCACAAGCCCTCCATTTCCTGTCAGCCAGTTTCACTATTTGTTCTCCTATGTGGGACGCACAGATCAGGCCTCTTAGCGGCTGACCTCCAAATGTGGGAGTTTGCTATGAGTGCTGGCTGTCACACTGGTGAGCGCCCTTATGAAGGGACTCTGGCAGTGTAGTCTTCGAATCTGTCCTTGTTTGGTGAAGCTACTTCTTAACAATCATGGGTTCTAACAAAAAAGTGGGTTCTGCCTAACAAAAGTTCTGCTCTGTGCATTAAATGGGGACAAAGCAAGCAGGTTCCTCAAGATGCTTGGCTTGTTTAACCAAGC